GATCACCCAACTCCGGAAGTGCAAGTTTAATAATAGTCCGAGTGTCTCAGGGACCCAGGGTTCGCAGCAGGCCTCGTAGAACCTGAGCCCCAGAAAGAATCCCGCTGCCTTCCGTTTGCTTCCGTTGCCTTCCTCCGGCCAGGACCGAGCCAGGAAAGCAGCTGGCCAGCAGGCCCAGGCACCCCCGTGGTCAAGCAGAATGACACCGGGGCGGGGCCCGAGGCTAGCTACTGTGTGGCTTTGGACAAGTCCTCACTTCCTCACTGGAGATGGTCACAGTAGCTGCTTCCTGGGCCTGTTGGAAGGGGCAGGTGCACCAAGCGCTTACCACACAGGCTGATTCTTCAGAAAGGTGAACATACTCTGCTTTGTGTGACAGTTCAGGGCCCTCATGTGGGGCATTCAGGGATGTGTCAACCGGCAACACCTGATGGGTGCTGTGTGCACCACCACCCTCACATACCCATGCGTGTGTACACTGACAAAACCACATTAAAATGACACTCAAGGGGCTGACACTGAGGCACAGTGCATTAAGCTGTTAAGCCGCTGACTGTGTTGCTGGCATCCCATTGTCAGAGCAGTGATTCAAAGCGTTAGCTGCCCTGCTTCTGATCCAGCTCGCTCTCAATGCACCTGGGAAAGCAGCAGAAGATGGCCCCAGTGCTTGGGCCCCCACACCCACTTGGGAGACCCAGGTGGAGTTCTTATCTCCCAGTTTTGACCTGGAGCAATCCCAATTGTTGTTGCCATTTGGGTAGTGAACCAGCAGATGAAGGATCCATCTCTCTCTTTCCCCCGTCACACTGCTTTCCAAATAATTTTTTTTAACAAATGATACTGCAGGCCAAATGGGGCAGCCTGAGTTGTGTACAGGAGATGGCCAATGTAGACGAGGGGTTCCTGACGCCCTGGGTTGACTTATAAGGCAACAGGCCACACCCGGCTCCCCTGGGTGGCTGGCCTGGAGCGTCCTCTTTGCAGCTGGCGACAACAGGGCACCTGGTGGCTACTCCTGGGGACAGGCCAGCAATGTAGCTGTGGGTTCTCCCAGCCCAGACAGCCTGGCTAGTGTTTCTTCATCTACTCAGGAAGTGTTGCTTAAGGGTGTATCAGATTCTTGGACCCAGCTTTGGCCTGCCCGGGACAGCTCCGGCTGAGCTGGAGTCGGTGGCCCTGTGGACGGGGAAGAGGAAGGACGAGGCAGCAGTGGGAATGCCAGCCAGGGCCGCCCCAGAGGTCCTCCAGGAATACATGTGGTCTGGGCCCATAGTGCACACACCCACAGCGCCTTTATAACATGGTCCGTTGGTTTCCACCTCAGCAGGGCCAGGGATCTGTATTCTGATTTCCTATTCTCTGTCGCTCAGCCCCAGCTCAACATGGGCTCTCTGTAAATCCACTGTGGAATAAAACAGAAGCAGTCACCAGCTGCAGTGATGTCATTCCGCCACTCACCTGTGAGTGTCCGACCACCGTGTGCCAGCCCAAGAAGAGGACACACCCCAGTCACCACCAACAACCAGTGAACTTCCCTTCCCACTGACCCCTTGACCTTGGGACCCTCGTTATGCTCCTCAAAAGGAAGGCTGAGAACTACACGGGGAGGGGGCTTGGGGCCTGAGTTGGCATAACTGGCCCAAGTGGCCAGCCCCAGTCCAGCCCCACTCTTGACTTTAAACTGGCTCAGAGTTCTGGGGCTGGGGAGAGCAGGAGGGTGTGGAGACGGCCAAGGCAGTGGGGACACAGTATTTCTCAGTGTGCACAGGCAGAGTCAGTCTCATTGCCTCTGGAATGGGTTTGGTCATGACCCATGGTGGCAATAAGGAGGGAAGACGGTGCCACTGAGGTGCCTGGCCGGATGACTCCGGGTGGTGTGGTTCCATTGCTTTGTTGCCTTAGCCTGGTCTAGGGTGGGTTTTGCCGGCCCATCTGTTGTGCGCACTCTGCCTTGCTCCCCAGACTCAACACTCTTAACCTTCAAGCCGCGTCGTCGTTGGTTGCCGTTGTAACCTATTTTTATCTGGGTTTTCATCCCGAGCTCTGTGATTGCGCTGTACGTGCTAGTGAGCTGGAAGGAAACGACTCTGTAGCAGTTGGACTCTGGGGGAATAACACGAGTGTTTCCCCGCAGTGGGATCCAGACAGGCTCTCAGAATCAGCAGGACTCAGGGGACGGCCTGGGCTCTGATGTCCCCCATGTGTGCGTGCGTGCCAGCGTGGGGGCCATGGAAAGGCCTGGCCTGTTGCAGAAGCACTTCATGAGTGGCTTTGAGGACAGGCATGCTGTGGCCAAGGGTCCTGCTGATGGCTTCGGAAGGCTCAGAGAAGGCTTGGTCCCTCGACCCGGGCACTGGGGAGACGAATTTCCCATAGCTTAGGCACCCAGGGGAAGACAAGTTCCAAATATGCAGTGAAATCCAGCCCCTTTCTGGAGTTCCCAGATTTAAAGACCATAAAATCCTGAGTAACCAAGGCCAGCCTTGGGCAGGAGCTGGGCATCGGTGTGTGAGGGAGCAGGGCAGGTGTGGAGCCAGCAAGCAAGAGAGAGGGTGAAAACAGATGCAGGGAGTAGTCCCCGGACAGCCAGGAGGACAGAGCTGGGCATGCCAGGGAGGTGATGGGCAGGCGATGAGAGGGCAGCAGGCAGTGAGGTCAGGAAGCAGCACTCCTAGGGCAGGCCTGTGTGCCCAGCTGGGCAGTGGGAAAGGGCCCGTCGGTGAGGCTGGAGCATCCTGGTGCTCATTGGCTGCTGGCTGCTGGGTACTCTTCCTGCTGGGGACTCGGTGTCTCGTGGTCAGCATCTCCTGATTCCAAGTCCTCACAGGTCCAAGGTCTGAGGTCCAGGTGCTGCCCCTGTCACTCTGCAGCCTGCCCAGTGGCAGTAGCCCTGTCACCCCCACAACTGCCTCCCAGGCTGCTGACAGGAGGATGTCCTTCTCCCAGGCCGACTGGGATGATCTCACCCTCAGAGCTACAACCTAGCTCATAGACACACCCCCAGAGAAAGTCAGAGGGAACACGCAGAGGCCGCTGGAGGGTGTGTGGATACGGCTTGGGGGGCTGCGGGAAGCCCACCCAGCCAGCCATCTGCAGAGGGTACCCGGGGAAAGCCTTCTCTGAGCCATTAGCCTCAGCTTGCATCCCTGCCATGCTCACATTATAGACAAGGCTGCATCTGTGTGTTTGTGGAAAACATGGGCTAGCGTGATGGCTCAGTGGCTAAATCCTCGGCACGTGCCAGCATTCCCTGTGGCGCCAGTTCATGTCCTGCCTACTCCACTTCCCATCCAGCTCCCTACCTGTGGCCTGGGAAAGCAATGCAGGATGGCTCAGAGCCTTGGGACCCAGGAGAAGCTCCTGGCTTCAGATCGGCTGAACTCTGGCCATTGTGGCCACGTGGAAAGTAAACCAGTGGATGGAAGATCTTTGTATCTGCTTCTATTCTGCCTCTACAATAAAAATATATCTTTTAAAAAGAAAAGAAAACATGGAATTGAAACAAGAGTTTCTGTGGGGGCATTTTCCCCCCAACCCCAGAACCTAGGTGTAACACACAATTTCCATGCGCCTCTGGCAGGTTCTGGGCAGTATTCTCCGTAAGGGTCACAAGCGAGGCTGTGGGCAGCATGGTGGGTGGGTGCCTGCCGAGGGCACAGAGCTGGGCCTCAGCAGCTATTCCAACCCCAGGAGGACTGTGTCCTGGCCCTGCACGCTCGTAGACTTTCTCCCACTGTTGCAGTTCCCACATGCTCTGCTTTGTCACTCTCCTTTGCTCTGAACAAGCATTCCCGGTCCAGCATCGTGCTGTGCAAGGGCAGGGGACTCAGAAAGCAAAGGGCATCCCTCTTGTGCAAGATCTCTGGCCGGAAACAGCCACCAGAGGTGACACTGGGAGGGAATGTCAGGGTCAAGCCACCTGCCTGGGACCCCCGGGAGTGCCTCTTTGCTCCCGGGTAACCTTGCGCAAGTTGCTTACCTGTGACTCGGGTTCCTCTCCTGTGAAATGGGACCGTGCTGGCACTTACCTCTTGGGTTTTGGAAATGAGAAGTGTGTGTGACATATACTTGGCTACTTCCAAGAGTTCATGGGAAAATGACATTCAGAGATAAATGTTGGTGCAAAGAGTTTTTGGAATCTGTGCATAGGTTTTTTGGTTTGCTTGTTTTCCTAATAAACATTTTCGCTCAGCTTTTTTTCTCCGTCTTTGTGAGAGGCCTGGGAGAGGAAGGCAGCAGAACCCTTGTCTGCTGGTTCCAACCCCAAGGGCCTGCAGTGGCCAAGGCAGGGCTGGAGGCCAATGGGAACAGCCTGGAGCAGCTCTCCAACCCTGCCACTTGTGCAGCAGGGACCCAGCGACCTCAGCCATCACCACTTGCCTGCTAGGGTCTGCATGAGCAGGAAATTGTGGTCTAGGGCTGGAGCTGGGACTTGAACCCCAGGCCCTTGAATGCGAGTCAGGAGCCTCTTCACTACTAGGCTAGTCCCTCCATGGACTTTTTGAAGACCCTTCTTATGCATGAGTTTGAAGGTTTTTGCACCAAAATAAACTTTCAATTCTATTTCCCATTGGCTCTCTAAAGCCCCCTCATATTGTATATGAAGTGCTGCTGCTGATTTTTTTTTTTTTTAGTTCACTTATTTATTCAAAAGGCACAGTGACAGAGAGATCTTCCATCTGCTGGTTCACTCACCAAACTACCACAATAGCCTGGAGCCAGGAGCCAGGAGCTCCACTGGGAACTCCCAGGGAGCTGGACCAGGAACACAGCAGCCACATGGGGTGACAGCGTGCCAAGCAGCAACTTAACCCACTGAACCACCACCACAACGCCGGCACCCAGTGCTGGGAGTGATGTTCAGTTACTAGACAAAGAGGAGGAGAAGTGCACGCTGGGCTCCCCGGGTGCTGGCCTTCAGGACTCCTGCTGTGGCCCTGGCCTTGGCCCTTGACTGAGCACAGTGAGGCCGCTCACAGCCCTGTCGCTTCTCCCCACAGGCCGATGCCGCCACCAGTTTTCTGAGGGCAGCCAGATCCGGCAACCTGGACAAGGCCCTGGATCACCTGAGGAATGGAGTGGACGTGAACACCTGTAACCAGGTGAGTGCAACAGAAGCGGGGCGCAGCACAGCTCCAATTGGGGCGTGATGGATCCTTGGGGTCTGACCTGGTCGCCTTTACCCAGCCACCAGCCTGGTGCTGATTCCCAATCAGCAGGGAGCGCTGCAGCCGCTGCCCTCAGGAGCTGCCTGGCTCCCTGCAGGTGTCTGGGACTGCTTGGCCCTGGGGAGAGAGAGGGCCTTGAAGAGGGCCCTGCAGGCGGCCCTCATGGGCTTTGGGCTGGGCTGAGAAGAAAGCCAGCCAGGGAGTTCCTGCTCCGGAGTTTACCGTGACTTAGTCAGCAGTGAGCGTGGCCAGTGCGTCTCGCTCCCGAGGGCTCCAGAGCTGAGCTGCTGGCCAAGGCCTGTGTTCAGGAGGCGCTGCTCAGGATGGGCAGGAAGGCACAGGTTGTTCTTGTGGGTTGGTGCTTGCCAGGCCAAGCCAGTTGTGACTGCCTCCCTTCCCAGCCCCTTACAATTTTTACCATCCTAAAGACTACTTTTAATTAAGACGGACAGGGAGGAGGAAATGGAACTAAATGAATCTGGATTTGCTATGAGTTTTTGTTCTTAAAATGTGTTCACTTGTTTATTTGAAGGTCAAACAGGCAATCTTCCATGCTAGTTTACTCCCCAGCTGGTCACAACAAGCCAGTGCTGGGCCAGGCTGAAGCCGAGAGCTTCTTCCCAGTCTCCCACATGGATGCAGGGGCCAAGCGTTTGGGTCATCCTCCACTGCTTCCCCAGGTGCATTAGCAGGGAGCTGAATCAGAAATGGAGCAGCTGGGATTTGACCTAATGCCCATATGGGATGCTGGTGCTGCAGGCGGAGGCTCTACGTGCTATGCTACAGCATTAGCACCTTCTGCAGCTCCCTGCCCTGCAGTCCATACAGCGTAGCAGCATGTCCATGGTCCCATGTGTGGCTCGGGGCACATTCCCAGAGTGCTGTGCAGCCACAGCCATTGCCCACCTCCAGAACCTGAAGCCCGCCAACCATTACCCCAGTCTCCTCCACCCCTCAGCCCTTACGACCAGTCTTCCTTCCCCCAGCTCTGAAGGCTCTCCGACAGAAGCCTCATGTCTTCACTCCCCTAGCCCTCCTGCCTCTGCCTCCTGCCCAGAGCCAAGACTTCATTGGTTTTGTGGTGGGGGAAAAAAAATCACAGGCGGAAGGTGAGAGTGGACGGAGTGGAGAGGAAGCAGAAGGAAGCGCTGCGATGCAGATTCCACGGCAGTGGCCTGTGGCCTTCGGCAGGACTGGGGACAGTTGCAGCTGGCACTGACCTCCCACAGAGAAGGCCCAGTGCCTACACAGGGGCCAGGTTTCCAGGAAATGGGATGATCCGACTCCAGGCAGCAGGTGGAGACTGAACTCCTTTCTTTGCGGGGATGGAGGTGGAAGCAGCAAAGCTCCAGGTTTTAGGGGCTCCTAGCACCACAGCTCCAGCAGCCACTGTGTAAGTGGCTATGATAGTACCGGGAGGCGGGGGGACTGCTTTTCCTCCCCTCAGGACACCTTCCTGGGCACCTGAAGATACCAGGGCTGGGAAGAGGCAGCCTCCCTCCGTCCCCCAGCTCTCCAAGGAAGCCAGTTAATGAAACAGGGACCGTGGAATGTTCACTCTGTTTCACCAGAGTGAGGCTGAGGAGGCTCCGGGCATTTCCTGTCTGCAGCTGCTGTCACAGTGCAGTTGCAGACCGCAAGGCACAAACCAGCAGGGCCAGCTGGGGCGTGAAGCAGCCACAGGAGCCAGCCCATGGCAACGGCTCTGCACTACGATGGCTCTGCACCGGGACAAGCCCTGTCCCCATCCCTAGGGCAAGGTGCTTCTGTAAGTGTTCCTGCAGGGTGCTTCTGCAGGCGTCCTTCAGGGTGCTATTGCAGGTACTACTGCAGGGTACTTCTGCAAGATGCTTGTGGTTGTACAGGGTGTGTCTATAGCATGTTCTGGCTGCACAGGGTAGCTTCCACACGGTGCTTCCAGTTGCATAGGGTACTTGGCTTAGGCTCCTGTGGAGAGTGTGTGGAACGGAGGGGGGCGGCGGGGGAAGGCTGTAGTGGCTGCATCCTGTCACCCCCCGGGAGGCGACACTATATCCCAACAGCCTGCTAATGGCCCTGGCTCTCCCCTCTCCCCGCAGTGCCGGCATTGTCTTGCAGAGATGGAAGCAGTTCCTGCCGGGCAGGGAGAGGGGGGACGTGCCTTTAGGACCTGCTGGCAACTTGAATCGCGGTGGTGATGGCGGGGGACATGGGCCATGCCCACCCTTACATAAGCAGCATGCTTCCAGGTTGTGTGTTTGTGGACAGAATGTGCACTGCTGACCAGCACGGGAAGTAATTACTCCGTGGAGCGTGGAAAGAGGAACTCTGAGCTTATATAAGAGATATCTGAAGAATCAGGGCAGTTTCCTTCTTCCACAGATGATGCCTACTAATTTTAATCATCATCATCATCATCATCATTGCTGTTCTATTTATAGGGTGGGAGAAATCCATTGCTAGGAGCTCACACGTGCACAGGCGTGCGTGAGCATCTTTGTAGGATGGAAAGCCCAGCTCTCAGACTTGTTCCAGCATTTGCTCGAGCGTCAGACCTCTGCTCTTCATTGTCTTCCCATGTTTCCCCCGTGTGTGTGCATGAGGGCTGGGGACGTAGGAAGAGGCAGAAAACAGGGCCAAGTCCATGTCTGCCCTGAGCTGTCATTGCTGATGTTGACAGCTGCCAATCAGATCATGCACACCAAAGCCTGCGTTAGCGACCACGGAGGAATGACGGGATAGGTGGGCGTAGGAACCCTTGTTCCCAAGAAGGCATGAAAGGCCTGGTTTGGCGTCAGAGAGGGCTGCTGCGGGTGCGGAAGTTGGGGGTCTTCTGGTAAAAGAGAACAGCCCCTGCATGACAAGGTCCAGAGGCAGGGGAAAGAGTGGGGAGTTTAGGGCAAGCCGGACAGGGGAACAAGAGAGCAAGGGGGTCCAGAAGAGGCCCACAGCGAAGACACAATACCCTGCAAAGTGTGTGTGTGTGTGTGTGTGTGTGTGTGTGTGTGTGTGTGTGTGTAAATCCTACAGGCATTGGTTAACAGGCAGAGATCACGGGAGGGGGCAGTAGCATGGTGAGAGCAGCAGGTGTGTCACAGGTGTGTGATGCTGTTGGAGCAGCAGGTGTCACAGGTGTGTAAGGCTGTTGGCCAGGAGCAGCAGATGTCACAGGTGTGTGAGGCTGCTGGCCAGTGGTAGCAGAGATAACCCATGCGGCTGTGCTCAGGTGTCCCGGCCGAGTCTACACTTGGAAGCCGAAGCACCTCGGATGGCCGCCTTGAAGTGACAGGGTCTGAGAGAGGAGCCTCAAACCCACGCGGCCCCTGGGCAGGCAGGGGACCCCCCAAACCTGTGCAGGGAGCTTGCTTTAGGATGGAAGCAGAGGAGGGCCTGCAGGCCTGAGGGACAGAGAGGATGGGAAGATGGGGAAGGAAGCTTGGTCTGGGCCTGGAATGCAGAGGAGAGGCTCAGCCCTCCGGCAGGGATTTGAATGGCACTCAGCGCTCGAGGAAGTCCAGTGCCAGTGCGGGCACCGGGGCAAGAGGCGTGGTGAGCAGGGCTGGGGGCCACCACACGTTGCCTATTCAGTGCCTGCTCTGTGCCAAGAGCTATTCCTGGATTTCAAGGAGACAGGCAAAAAGGCAGCATGTGCTGTTGTGTGAAGCAGATAGACAGGAGCTGAGGAAATGAGGCGTGGGCAGCATCAGACTGAATGAAGACAAGGAGACGCATGCAGGAGAATGCCACCAGGCCTGCTGCAGGTGTGGGCTCAGAGCTGAGAGCTGGCTAGGGGGAGCCTAGTGTGCCCCACCAGTGGACAGTCTTGTGCAAAGGTCCTGGGGTAGCAGTCGGCTGTTCAAAGAACGGCCTTGAGGCACAGAGGGGCAAGCACTGGTTATGGGTTGCCACAGTGGAGCAGCTAGGACCCAATGATCCTATGGCTCTGTCGGACTCAGTGGCTTACAGATAATGCACGGTACTGATACTGTCTTCCAATGTTCCGTTTCTTGAGTGAGTGCTGGTTTGTATACTTATAGCAAATCAATGGGTTCATGCACCTACCAGTTCACCCAGATGGAAGGCAAGCCAGTGCAGTGGTGGTTTTGTCCTCCAGCATCGCAAGAGCTCTTGGGAACAGCAGGGGCAAAAGCCTGAGGGTCCCGCTGGTCCATCTTACTCATAACACTAACCAGCGTGGCTCCTGGGACTTTCCTGGTAGGAGAGGAGGTGCTAGGGTTCCCCCAACCTGTGAGCAGTCTGCAAACCTGCAGTCATGGTGCTGGCCGGCGTATCCCAGATGTCGCTTGGGCCTTGGCTTGCCCGTCTCTCCCTAACCCCAATGCTGCCTGCCCACTGTGTCTTCTCCTCGCAGGAACTGGCACCCCGAGGGGAGGAGACTATCACCTCTCAGTGCCCTGTCTCACGCTCCTGTGGGGCATGTCGCGGGTGCACCCATGCGCACTCAGTCGATGGTTTACCAGCGCATGGGGCTGCTAAGGCTGCTGTGGGCCCTGCTGGAAGGAGACAAAGGATAGCCCTCTCATCTGGGCTCTGTTGAGAGGAGATGTGTCATCTCCAGGATCACACAGAGAGGGTCCCTGCGCCAGGCACAGCCATTTCCACCGCTGGCCCACACTCTGCCATGCCCTACCATCCTAGGGCCACACCCGCCTGTCCCAACGGTTAGGGGATCGGGGTGTGTCAAACATGCGGAGCCCAGGTTGGGGCCATGGCTACTGCCGAGGTGTCTCAGCTGTGGCAGGCGAATGTTGAGCAGGGTGATGACGACGGGGTTGGCCATCTAGAACCTTAGTGCTTCAGGAGATGGTGGCACTCAGTGTTCAGGATGCCGAGATACAGGGGCCACTTGTGAATATCTCACGGGCCTCGTGACCTGAGCGCTGGTGAGATAGGCTTGCGTGCCCACTGTCCATGCCTAACCAGGGATTGGGGCT